CCCTTCTTTCTCCACGCTCGCTGTTGTCGCCCTGTTGATGATGTCAGTGACGCGGTTTAATCGGGCGCGGCTTAGTCGAACGCGGTTTTGTGGTGGAACCACTGCTGCCATCATTCAGCATCTGCTGCCTGAATCTATGATCACTATGCCCAATGGTAGGACTGGTTCTAATTATGGCATTATAGCTTTCCTGTGACCACATGCTTCTTGTAAATCTGGAAAAAACACTAGGTTTTTCAGAGATAACAAAACATGTTTTGTAAGGAGAAAAAACAAACAAGTGAAGGAAGATTCTCAAACCTGGCTGCAAATGTTTCATCACCACCACTCGAGGAGAAATCATGGTCTAATTTCGGCTTGTTTGATAGCTTGAGTGGCTGACTGCAAACAAGCCGAAACCAGACCATGACTCAGAAGCACCCAGATAACAACTCTAATCCTAATCTGCACCATACAGATGGTACTTAACTACAGCCCAACAACAATAGGAAGCCAATCAAACTTTATAGTGTGTGGTAAATTGTGTGGTAGTTAAGTGGCTCACCACATGACAGCCCTGTGTTTTTGTGACCTTTGTCCGACAGTCATTAAGTAAATACCATGGTTGTTAAATGAATCTCAGTCATTAAGCTGTCCGAAATCAGACTATGACTCAGAAATATCCGAACAAACAGCATTCAGACTAATTTGCAATCCCACAAAAAGGTCTTTAAAGACCTGTGTTCTGACAGACGAGCACAACTCAAAAGGCACTGACGATGTCTCCTTAAATGGTTATGAAATGTTCGCAACCAAATTGCCAAGCTCGGAGCTCAAACCAACTGCCTAACTACCAACCCAAGCTATTAATATTCAAACCCATTCTCAAACTTCTCAAGAATTATTGATCATGCTCTGAGTGCATATGCAATTCCCATGGAGTGCAGGAGGCATCAGGAGGTGGGGAAGAAGAGGTCAAGGACAGATATCAAGTGCAGAATCAGATGCTATACCTTGTATACGTAAAAAAAATTACCTTTCCACTCTTCAATTGTGTGTTCTCTTTCATCCAACTGCTTGTCATAGATCTGTGGAGGTGGCTGTGAATTGAAACATAGAGAGGTCAACGGAATAAGTTAAATTGGGAACATAAACCAAAAGTTTTGAGGTCAGTTAACTTGGGTGCCAAAATAGTTAGGAAATGAAAAACTCAGCAAACATGTTCCAAGCATGATGGGTGCAGTGGCAGCCAAAAAAGCCAATGCAATCCTACATTGCATAAACAGAGGGATACAATCAAGATCAAGTGAGGTACTAATACCACTCTATAAAGCCTTAGTAAAACCATACCAAGAATACTGGATCCAGTTTTGGTTCCCACACTATAAAACAGATGTTCAGACTCTAGAAAGAGTGTAGAGAAGAATAACCAGGATTATTAGCGGACTGGAGATTAAAACATATGAAGAACGGTTACAGGAACTGGGCATGGCTAGTCTAGTGAAGAGAAGGACCAGGGGAGACATGATACCAGTCTTCCAATATTTGAGGGGCTGCCACAGAGAGGAAGAGGTCAAGCTATTATCCAAAGCACCTGAAGGCCAGGC